GTGTTTTATCGTTGCTCTGTTTTTATTTGTTGTTTCAATTTCCATTAACTTTGTAGTCCTCATTAATGTCTCATATGAAACATTTTGCCCCTGTATAGTATTCATTGGTTATTTCCAGATAATGGCAATTTTGACCCTTGTACATATACTTTCTCCAACACCTTCTGAAATCTTATAAGAAACTGAATAATTTTAGCATTGATATTTTTAGCTCTAGGTCATATGGTAGCATGTACCATAAATGGTATTGTTTGAAAAAATTCAAATTAATAAGTTCATCATTTACAATAAGCCTTAAGAAAATGAACAGAGGGCTAGAGAGAGTTAAAGGACTGCCTAGGATACATGAAGAATAGAAAAGCTTTCCAAGTGAGAAACCACTAAGTCATAGGTGAGTAAAGTACTTAGAAGGAAAACAGTGAAGAGAGAACATTTCAATGTTGCCACTGAAAACATATATGTGTTTACATATCTGCTTGGTGTCAGTGTTCAGAGGAGGGAAGAAATAGAATATCTTTTACAAATATTAACAATTTTATTAATTTTGAGAAGTTATCTGTGCAGAGTTGATCCAATCAAATATTGTTGAATTGAATAAATGACTGAAAAATGTTCTTATCTATTTAAGAATGATTTTGGGATCCTCCTTGCTACTCTACACTCAGCACAGAGTTGAGGAGGTCAGTGTTGGGCAGCCCCCAGTGCTTGTTTAGAATTTTGCAATTTGCAAACTCCAGTACAATTGGCTTCACATGGCTCTCCATCCCACCTCCATTCTCTTTCCAGGAGATTTTTAAAAAGGCAAACCTGATTTTAAAACTTCTTCACTATTCGCTGCCCTCAAGATAAAATATAATCTTTTTATGACGGCATAAAGGAGCCTTCAAAACTCCGTCCCAAGTGATCTTTACACCTTCATTTCCCACTATAAACTTCCCTTTTGTATACGTTATAGTCCAAGTTTTCTGAAGGAACTGTGCATTTTAACACCTCTGGCTTTTTCATTGGCTACTCTGTATGTCAACAATTCTCTTCCCATCCCTCATCGAAAACTTATGCCCATCTTTAGAGACCCAAGTGGGCTATTATCTCCTCAAACCAGCTCTAATACCTAGAAAAGTGTATTAACATAGCCTTTTGTAAATGTCTACACCAAGAGATGATTTGCAATATATTATTATCTCTTTGTGTGTCTATCTGTTCCATTGGGCTATGATTTTCCTAAGGTGAGTTACTATGTTTATACATCTTTTGGATCACAAAAGGATAGATGAGGCTTACTCTTATAATCTGGATGTTGAAGGGTAGGAGAGAAGTAAGACTTGACTTCTCATTCCATTTTAACAGCATGAAGTGAAAAGAACAGAGAGTCCCTGAGTATGTGCCCATCTTCTGCCTAGAAGAAGCTTTCTGTAACACTGATGACTGGTATTTTGCTGTTTTGGAAAGGAGTGATAAAAGAAGCGATAGTGACTGGCATCAGACCATAACCCCCTAAACATCCAGACATCCTTTGGTTTAAAGGGAAGTGAATAATCCTAAGAAGTAGAAATTCCTAGTAAATTATTGGATACAGTCATGGTTACCAATACTATTTGAATAACAAATTACTTAAAAGAATATAAATCTTCAAATATCCTAATCATACCCTTATTCTTGGAGGCAGGGACTGCAAACGTCCCTATGCCTTTCCATTTGCCTTTGAAACTGAGGCACAACTCGACCACCCTGGGCCGTCAAGGAAAGTAATCTCTTCATGTTGCACTGCCATCATGATATTCATTCACATTGCTATCACTGTACTTATTACTTTGTATTCTAATTGTTGCTTGTAGGTCATGGGTTTCTCAAAAGAGGCTGGATCTTGGTCCTCATTTGTCTCTACTTCCTAACAGAGCTCCAGAAAAATTATCAGCATTCATCAATATGTATTGGATGAAAGAATCAATTCATCGGTATTATCAAATTTAAGCTTATAAACCAAGGATTATAAAATCTACCTAGCTAAATTTCCTAAAAAGTTTTTCATACCCTTCTGCCCATATCTAGGATTTTTTTAATGTTTAGAAAATTACAATTCCTAAATGTAAGAGTTAAAATTTTTATCTTCAGGCTCTGCACAAGCATGTTAGTTATCTTCCCAGGCCTTGGCTAGAATGCTTAAGCCAGGTTAAGACACTGTCATTAGGAACATAAATATTAAAAATAATAACAAGAAAATGCATAACAGGGGAAAATTCACAATATATAAGCCACATTCGTTTTTTAAAATCTGAAAGTCACAGACCGAGAAATATTTTTAGTTTGCTACATTATTATTTTTGACTGGGTGTACAGGTAATCTATTTTTCATTCTAAGCTTAAAAAAAAAAAAAACTGGGTTCCCTAACAACTAGAATAATCTTTTGCAGCTGCTCATATACCACACTTGGAATTTATAGAGAAACTTTGCTGTAACAGAAAGGCTAACTTACTTTTGAAGAACAAGAGTCTTAAAACAGATAAGTAGCTTCTACAAATGCAGCTAGAGGTATATATTTTCTAATACTGACTATCCTTGAGAAATGAAAATGACATGGATTTGATACCTCTGGGACTGTAGAGCCAACAGAATAAGGCAGGAAGTTTTTGCTTGCATAATCCTCTTGGAAGATGCCAAAAAAGTAAGAACCTATAATTGAAAGACGTGTGAAATACCATGGAAATTACCAGGAGTGCATTAAAAACAAGATTCCACTGTTCTAAATCTTTTGGTGGCTTATGAGTGGAGTATACATAATAAACAGCTTCTTTCTTTTCAACTAAGAGAAACAAGACCTCTTCCAGGATAGTTTTGACAGTTTTTAAATAGATACTCCAGCTTTCTCTGACCGTTTTTGCTCTTAGGCTCTTACTTAGCAAAGAAAACCAGCTTTTTTTCTCTCTGAAGGTTAGTCATGTGTGATATAGTTCAGATCTTGCTCCAGATGTAGTTACTCCCATGCTTCAAATACAGTAAAATATCTTTGAAATGAAAAGGGTATGTATGTGGGTTTAAAATGACCTGGATTTGAGCCCTGGATTTATCCTCAATGAGCAATTATGTTTATATGGTTGGAGTAAAAGCAATTTTTATGTTATTACATTTAACTAAAATTATAGGAATGTCTATTTTGTAGGTTGTATAGACTAAATGGAGAATACAGATAAAGAGTTACACACCTAAGGAATGCTAGATTGTTTTTGTTTATACTCTAGAGAAGGCTTTTGTCTGTCACTTTAAACATAGAGCAGGAATACAATCTGTGATGGATAATACTGAGTGTCAACTTGACTGGACTGAAGGATGCACAGTACTGTTCCTGGGTGTGTCTGTGAGAACGTTGCTAAAGGAGATTAGCACTGGAGCCAGTGGACTAGGAGACGCAGACCCACCTGCCATCTGGGTGGGCACCATCTAATCAGCCAGTGTTGCTAGAATAAAGTCAGCAAACATGGAAAGACAAGACTAGCTGAGTCTTCTAGCCTCTATCTATGTCCCATAGTGGATCCCTCCTGCCATCAAACATTGGACTCCAAGTACTTCAGCTTTTGGACTCTTGGACTACACCAGTGGTTTGCCAGGAGCTCTTGGCCTTTGGCCACAGAATGAAGGCTGCACTGTCAGCTTCCCTACTTTTGAGGTTTTGGGACTCACACTGGCTTCCTTGCTCCGCAGCTTGCAGAGGGTCTATTGTGGGACTTCACCTTGTGATCATGTGAGTCAATTGTCCTTAATAAACTCCCTTTCATATATACATCTATCCTAGTAGTTCTGTCTCTCTAGAGAACCCTAACTAATATACAACCCCTGTAGGAGAGTTCTCTAGAAATGGAGACGAGAAGGACAAGGCTAAATTTTTTCCTGGCATACCTGAGAGATACTTGGGTAGCATTTCTGTAGAGCCCAGTAATCACTTGTGATGCTTGGTTTACTCTGCAATGAATTTGGAAGCTTGGCACTCTCTGTTTTAAAGTGGATGTGAAGTACAGAGATGAATGGTTCTTTTCAAACTGAATGGCTTTAAAGATATCTTTGCACAGGATAAACTCATCAGGAGTGGCAAATGATAAATGAGGGTTATAAAAATTTAGGAATCTTTTACTTACCCTAATTGATGGCTCTCACAAGAGGATTCATAACTTTTTTGTTAGTTGCTCTTTACTTTCTCCAATGTCTGAAGTCTTAAAACGACAGAGAGTTTGAGGGGTTTTTGTAAAGTTAATTAATGTTAATTGTGTCGTGAATTACTTTAAGGAGTCTGTTGAGTGATGGACCCAGAGAAGAGGGTCGATACCATTTAATGTTCAATAGGGGATAATGCTGGTCTTTGGCACCATTTTACGATCATTAGGGCTGTGCTAAAGCTTGTCAGGAACAGCTCTAAAGATCAGTTGCTCATGGCAATTAAAACAATTGAAAATGACCTGGTATTACATTATACATGATGCAACACTGCTCCCAGTATGAACAAACTTTCATTCCATTAGTGATTTTCAATTTCATACCAAGCACTGCAATTTGTTTTTCTTAGTTACCTAACTATGGCTGTCTCTGTACTTCCAGCAGGATATTATTAATATTTATCCTATTATCTCATACAACACTTCAGGCTTAAAGCACTTTTTGCAATCCTAACTAATTAATCTTTATATCCTGCCTATAAGGATGGTAAATACCCTTTTAGAGTTAGGGAAACTGGGTTGAGAGTAGTTAAGAATTGGCCATCAAGAAAATGATCTGATGGGTTCCACAGGCTACTTTTGGGCCTTTTTTCTCTCCCCTTGAAACTAAAATTAATGAACCTTTGTCTAGAAAGATCATACTCTGAAGTATAAATGACCTCTTACCCCCTAAGAAAGGTTAATGGAATTATTGCTAACAGAATTTATTTTTTAGGCAAAAGACTTTAAAAATTCAAGTAAACACAGAGAACAGAAAGAAGTTTAGTGATTTTTTTAAATGTTCGTGTCATTTGTAGGGACATGGATGAATCTGGAAAACATCATCCTCAGCAAACTGACACAAGAACAGAAAATGAAACACCGCATATTCTCACTCATAGGTGGGTGATGAAAAATGAGAACACATGGACACAGAAAGGGGAGTACTAAACACTGGGGTCTATTGGGGGGAAAAGGGGAAGGCCAGTGGGAGGGGGAGGTGGGGAGGGATAGCCTGGGGAGAAATGCCAAATGTGGGTGAAGGGGAGAAGAAAAGCAAAGCACACTGCCATGTGTGTACCTACGCAACTGTCTTGCATGCTCTGCTCATGTACCCCAAAACCTATAATCCAATAAAAAATTAAAAAAAAAAAAAAAAAAAAAAAAAAACTGTTACCTATTTAGAGGAACTATTGAACTAAATCTTATTCAAAGCACATAAAGTACATACAAATTTTTCAAAAAAAATGTTTGAGAGACATAATAATAGAAAGAATGCCTAATAAATATTAGATGTCAGGGATGGTAAGAATATGACTAAGCTAGAACAGTAAACTCATAAATTTGATATTCACTCTTATTGGCTGATCAGGCAACTGAAGCTTGGCGAGTTTAAGTGATTTGTTTATGAATACACACTTAATAAAAAATCATGCTTAAACTAAAACCCAAGTTGGTCTCAGAAGTCCTTAGTTTTTACATTACAAAAATACCACTTCCCTGGTGGTAAAGAGAAACTAACTGTTCTCCAATTTACAAATCCCAGACTTGACACAACAATGATCTGTTTTTCTCTAACTCATTATCATATCGGACTCATTACTAAAGACCACTCTGCATGCCCCAATTGTGCCGTCTTTAGATTCACATCTCACATCCTTCCACAGAGTATGTTCCCCCAACCCAACCAAAACTACCTTCTACCTCCCTGCATCCCTTCCTCTCCCGAAGACTCATGAAAGAACTGATGTCACAGCCCCTGCTCCTACATGTCTGATTCTTTCACTGTCAAAGCGAAACCTTTCACCCTAATCTGAGTAAGTTTGCTGCCTTCTGCCCATACTTTTACTCTTACTTTTATGGAGAAAAGTGTCCCCGTTTTAAACAGTGGATTTAAATACAATTTTGAAACTAACCTTGTTATGAACTGAAGACACATAAATCTTTTTTTTTTTTTACTTCTTTTTCTTCTTCTCCTCATGCCCTCATCTCCTCCTCCCAATCCTGTTCCTCATTCTTTCTCTTCATCTTTCTTATCTCATAGTTTTAAGCTTTTAATGCTTGTTGGAATAATAATAAATGCATTTTCATTTAGTCAGATATATTAGTTTAAATCAATTTTCTCTGGGTGACTGAAATGTATTCTAAAATGATTTCATTTTATGCCCATTATGAAAATGCTAAATTATGTGAGGTAGACATGGAGAAAAATGTATTGGTGGTATGGGGATTTGTCATGGGAAACCACTGTGTTAACAACAATTATGTTTACATGATACATATTTAACCCAGGTGAAAGGGAGATAACAAAGAAAAACTAATAAGCCAGTAGAAACTGCTTCTACAGAGGATGACTTTTGTTACCTAAAGATCTCTATTCCACCTGGATTCAGTTATTTAGAAATTATGGCAAAACCAAATGATTCTGCAAGATAAAGGACTGTAAATTTTGAGGTTAGAAGGAAAATCCAAAGGGATAGGGGAGAATCAGCAAGGTTAGGTGGTATACCGAAACAGTAAAAACACTACGTAAATACACAAATGATTCTTATGGCTATTCACCAAGGAGAAATTGCAAATAACAAATATATAGATTTGAGTATCTACATGAAATGCTGTGCATAAAGATCTGATTAAAATCTTCTGTAAAGACTACAAAAATGAATACAGTTCTTGGTCTGATCACATATATTTCCAATTCATCAAAGATCATTTTGGCTATGTCTATGAAAGGTCAAAAATAAAACCTTAGAGTTAAAAAAATGTAAACAATAGTACAAATGTTTCTAAATGTGTATTTTACTTATAGGCATCACATTGCACTTTTTCAATCTTCTTTGTTCGTTTTCTGATCATCCAATTCTGTTTGTCTGATTCCTACTATACTCAAATTTTTCCAGTGGTGCACTACTGTTTGCACATTTATTTTTGTGATTTTTTTAGCAAGAAAGAAGGGAAAGCTGATGAGTCATTTGCAACTTTATTTTTAAAAATGGAGAAATTAACCTCTTATTGAGACCTGCAATGTGTGTAACGTGTGTCAAGTTCAAAGAAAAATTTCAACCAAGTAAGGCTATGGTTAAGCTTATTACCCAGCTTCATGCTTATTATATAATCAAGACAGTGACGCATGAAAACATGAAACTGTAAAGAATAATTGTGTTAAGTAAGTGTCCCAAATGAGTAAATATTACAATCAAGGACTACTGTAGAAATGCTAAAGAGACAAGAGTTATTTCAACAGTCATGACACACATACATTTATAGTTTTAAATTGAATTTAAGAAAAATTAATAAATTTATTTTTAGTTTGGGATCATTGGGGTAGAAATCCACCTTTTAGAATCGCAGTTTAAATACTTTCTGGGAGCAAATATACACATATTATCATATTCGTGTCCATTTAAATAAGAAAAGTTATTGGTCTCATGTGAATGGAAGACACACAACTTTGATTCACTTTTACTCTCTCCAGCTCCTAGGCTTGTGCAGCAAGTATGCAAGACAGCATTCTAAAACCTGTGATAGACACTCCACAGTATAACTTGGGTGAGTCTCGTGTAAACTGATGCCTTATGGCTATCATAGTATTAGAGTAACTATGTCAAAGTGATTTTTCTTGTGTTGTGGATATCTAATGATAGTGATAGGAAGTAATTGTGAAGAGCAAGAGCTCAGACTGATTTGTGGTTTAGGTTACTTTTTGAATATTAGTGGACAATATTTGACATATGACACTGTATTATTGAGCCTGAATTATTAAATCTAATATACAGTACAATATGACTCTGGTTTTTAGTGGAGCTGAGGGTGGATATTGCTTTCCTGGGGACACTGTTGACATAAAAAAGACACATACACACGTACCATAGATAATGCTCTTTCAGCCACATCAAACAAAGAAGACATTGTTTGAGACTTTTGACACCACCGAAACTCAGGTCAGCTAAAGAAAAAGGAAATAAATCCCAAAAACTTTCACTTTAGTTTTTCAAAATCTTCTAGTTTATGTTTCACATCAAATTATTCCTATATTCTTTCTGAGTATTCTTCCATTCAAATATATTTTAGAATGTATATTAACATATTAAGTTAATGTTCCCAATAAATGGACTTATATTTGACATCCTAAAATGTACTGAAATACTAGCTTTCTGCTATTAAATATGCTGCTTCTCATAAAGCTCTGCTTTTTTGTGCAAAGAACCAAATAATTTTAAAAATTATGTCACAGAATAGCATGTAAATGACTGAGAAGGAACTAGTAGAACTCATCTTCTGAGTGAATTTGGAACTGCCTATTTGTTCCTTCAGCAATACTCAGTAGTACACAAACAGTTCTGTATTAGATTATTTGTCAATGTTATTTTATGAAGAAATTTAATAAAATTTACTACTCTGCAATCCATTGAGCACTTCCTAACTTAATTGTCATATTCTGCATTTCCTGAGATTTACAATTAAAATTGTGATGAGCCAGACATACAAACTATTCATTTTGTGACAAGACAGCTTATTTGTATTTTACCAAAATTACCTGAGATTTTTATTAAAAAATAATAAAATCAATTTCGCCCATCTGTAAGTACCTATATATAATATATTTTGTCGGAATATATTTTCAACCTATTTTCTCTCAATTCCCACAACAAAAAAGATACTTCAATTTACTATTTATGCCCATGCCAGATCCAGTTAATAAAAAATAATGGCCCTGACATTTTATATTTTCCGAGGATGATCAAATAAGAAATGGTCTCCAGACCAAACATTTATTGTGATTAAGAAATGTTTAGTCTTCCTTATATCATTGTTACTAGTCACCAGTATTACTTTCTAAATCTTCAAGATCACATAAATGTATTAATTTATATTGTGTCTTTTTTTAAAACTTAAATTTAACTATTAGAAAGATCAATACAAATATGAAAGACCAAATTACTGATATTGCTCTTTGTGTAATAATTAAGTCTTATAAATAGAAAATAGCATAGAATCAAAAATTAAGATTTTATTTTTATTAAATTACCTAGGAGATAAATTTAAGTACTTGTAACAATTTTCCGCTGGATTTAAAAATATATAGGATATTTCTTATTGAACAGAGACACAAGAGTCTATCTTTGTTTATGCCAGTTCCCTTGTTTGTTCTGTTTAGTATCTCAGGTGGCTGCAGTGGGAATGAAGAATCATACTGATTAATGACTTTGTATGTGATTTTATATAGGCATTAAATGAGAGAATCAACTTTAAAAAAAAAAAAAAAACATTTATTCATTTTACCACACTCTCAACAACTACTGATTAACTTTCAGATATTGGACTTGATGAAAGGCTGATTAGGTAAATAATAGCCCTGTTAATTGAGGAATTTGAGAAAAGGAGACCACTTGTAGGTAACATTGATAACACTCCAAATTTCATTTTAGAAGTGTCTTGACCAGTTTAGACTTGCTTGGAGAAGTTCTGGACAAGTTTAAATAGCTCTGTGGTCCACATCTGAGTATTTCTTGCTTCTATCCCTAATTTCATGATTTGAAAAATTAATCTCTTTGAGGGTCAGCCTCCTACATGTAAAATGGATTTAATGCCTCTAACCTTATAGTATAGGGTAGAAAAATGCCATAGTGTTTAGGAAGATACTTTGTTAACTATAGAAAGCTATACAATGAATTATACTGCCGGGAAGACATTTGACTAAAAAAGTCCAGTGGGCATTTTTATAAGTGTAACTAGAATGTACAGGACCATAGATTTATACATTGCACTTAAGAAAAAAGAATTTTAATAAAAATCTTAGAAGCAAATGATCTCTCCTACCACCTCAAAAATGATAATTTGTCATGACCAAGTGGGCTTTATTCCAGGGCTACAAGGATGGTTCAACATATGTAAATCAATAAATGTAATCCACTACCTAAACAGAACTAAGAACAAAAGCCATGTCATCATTTGAATAGATTCAGAAAAAGTATTTTTAAAAAATCCAACATCACTTCATGATAAAAACCCTCAACAAGCTAGGCATAGAGAGAACATAGTAAGAGCCATCTCTGTCAAACCCATAGTCAATATCATAGTGAATGAGGAAAAATTGAAAACATTTCCTCTAAGAACAGGAACAAGGCAAAATGGGAGTAAAGACTTACAAGTTATGCCTCTGACAAAGGATTAATTCTGATCATCCACAGGGAACTCAGCTCAATAAGAAAAACCACCCCATTAAAACCCGGGCAAAGGACATGAACGGGTATTTCTAAAAAGAAGATTTACAAGCAGCCAAAAAACACAAGACAAAATCCTCTACATCACTAATTATCAAAGAAATGCAAATTAAAACCACAACAAGATACCATCTTATAACAATCTAGATGGCTTGTACTAGAAAGTCAAAAAACAACCAATTTGGCATGAATGCAGAGAAAAATGAATACTCATACACTGTTGGTGGGAATGTAAATTAGCTCAACTTCTATAAACGTATGGTGACATCTCAAGGAAGTAAAACTACAACTACCATTTCCAATAATCCCCATACTGGGTATCTATCCAACGGAATATAAATCGTTTTATCACAAGACACCATTTTTGTATGTTTAGTACAGTACTATTTACAATTGTAAAGTCATGGAACCAGTCTAAATATCTACCAATAGTTGATTGGATAAAGAAAATTTGGTATATATACTTTATGGAATAGTACACAGCCATAAAGGATGAAATTATGTCCTTTGCAGCAACATAAATGGAGCTGGAGGTTATTGTCCTAAGTGAACTAACAGAAGCAAAAAATCAAATATTTCATGTTCTCACTTACAAGTGCAAGCTAAACAAAGGGTACATATGGACATAAACTTGGAGAAAAAGAATCTGGGAACTCTGAATCAGGCAGGGAGGAAGGAGTGTGATGGTTGAAAAATTACCTACTGGGCACAATGTCCAATATTTGGGTGATGGGTAGACTAGAAGCCTATCCCCCACAATTTATCATGTAATACCCATGTAACAAATAATGACACATAACCTCTGAATCTAAAAGAAAAAGAAGCAAAATGTGCAGAATAGCTAACTTGGAATAGTGAGTCAATAAAACTAAATCATTTGACTAGGAAGCAAAGACAAAATACCAGTATACTCCAGAGGACTTGATACACAATCACAGGATATTACAGATGTCTTTTATTAAACAAAAATTTATTTTAAGATCTGTATCTATTTTCTATGTTAAGGACCAATTCTACTTGGTTTATACAGTTAGCTATCCTCCATGGAAATGAAACCAACATTAAGTATTAGTAAGTTAATAAAAATACTTAAGCTAAAATAAAAGGAATGAGATAGAAAAAAAAGTGGGGTTGTGGGGAGGCAATGCCCAAGATTTGAAAGAGAAATAGGACAATGCAGTCACAGAAGCCAGAGACACCAAACCTAACTGATGCTAGGTCTATGACAGAAAAACCACATACCTCACTGACAGGTACACAGGTGCACTTCGTTACATTCAAGATGTTTTCAGTATTTCATGAAGGTTAAGAACTACAGGTGAAATAAGAGGTGTTGTTTTTACCAAATCTCTCTCTTTTATCTCTAAAGCTAATCACACGCCAAATCCAATTCTTTCTGTCTGCCCAAGTATCTCTAAATTTCTCCTCGCTTTCAGCACCACTACTATGAGAAGTTGAGGGGAATGGTAGTCTAACAAAAGTGTCCTAATGTCCCAGACCTCAAACCTGAAGAGCCAAATCCCTAAGAGAGAATAAAGAGGACATATGGAACTTCATGACAAGAGGATTTTACTCCAGGCTTGTTAGTTGGCTCTGACTGTCATAATGAAATACCACAGGCTGGGTGGCTTAAACAGCAGAAATTAATTTTCTCACGCTTCTAGGCTAGAAGTCCAAGATCAAGGTTTGGTGTCTGATGATGCTTCTCTTTGTTGCTTGTAGATGACCACCTTCTTGCTATATCTTCACATGGCCTTTCCTGTGACCATACATGAGAAAAAGATCTGTGCTATCTCTTCCTCTTTTTTTGTTTTTAAATACCATGCCACTGTTTTTTTTACTCTTATTTTATTGTTATTTTTTTCTTATAGAGACGGGGTTTCACCATAGTGGCCAGGCTGGTCTCGAACTCCTGACCTCATGATCCACCCGCCTTGGCCTCCCAAAGTGCTGGGATTACAGGCATGAGCCACCATGCCCGGCCCTCTTCTTCTTCCTATAAGGACTCTGGTCCTATCAAATTAGGGCTTTCTTTTTTGACCTCACTTTGCCTTAATTTCTTCCCTAAAGCATCTTCGAATATAGTCACATTGAGGGTTAGGGATGAATTTTCCATGCTTTTATTTTTATGACATGATCTTCTTCTGCTAACACTGTTTCCTCAGCTTGCAATGTATTGTTTCTCAAGACTCACTTCTAATTTCCAGGGCTTCAGTGATGGGGGAAGAAATCATTCCCAAAACCCCTTGAGCATAAGTTAGTTGCTGCCTTGTCTTTCTCAAATATTCTGATCCTATAAAAGCTGGGAAAGTTTGTTCATATTTTAACATAGCAAAAACTACAAAACTCTTTCCTATAGTAAGTGCTCAATAATTGCTCAATCAATAAATGAATATATTCTGAGAAAATGAGAGAGGTTGTGTAGAAGAGTTCTTAGAAATATGAGTTAGGCAAAGAAAGGTGAATAATAGAGTATGTCTTAAAGAAGTATAAAAGCTATGATTTTTCTAAAAAAAGAGAAACTATCTTCATTTTATAAAATGAAACTAAGAACATGCTTCCTGTGACCACCTAGATGAAATGGCCACATAAATGAGAGGCAACAGAAATATAATTAGCTAGGCATTACAAAATACAGCTTGACTGAAAAGGATGTATATGTCTTTTTCCTGGTATAGCAACAAGAAAAACAACCAAAGAGGTAGGTATGAGGAAAAACAATTAAAATATGCCCTTTATAACACATAAAGTTAAAAAAAAAGAATTCCTGTACCCCTCTTCACAACCTCAGGAAGAGTAGAAAAGTGTCCATGGGAAAAAAAAAATGGTCTATTGTAGTAAAAAAAAGTCTTGTTCAGAGTTCACACTGAGTATCTTTTCATAAGAAATTATATAGCAGAACAATTAAAATGAAATACTAATTGTAACAAGAAAAGATGGTGACTGCAGAACATAACTCAGCCTTAATAGATTTTCTAATGCCTTTCTTTATACCAAAGGGGAGTACCCCGTTAGCCAATAAAGTAAATTTTCTGATCTCCAAATGGATACTTTATCTCGATTCAGACTGATATTTCAGCGACATCATGAATTTTTCAGACAGCTTTGTGAATCAGCAGAGTATTACAGAGGGGAATACTGACTGCTAAAAGTAAAGTCATTTTTTAAACAGTCTTTAAATGAGTAGTTGAAACATTTCATTTCAGGTCAAGGATGCATTTACTCCAGCAACCTGAAAGAGCAGAGAGGGCCGAATCAGTTGGGAAGAAATAGAATAATATTACTATATCAGCCAAAACTCAAATTATATAGTTTTGCAGGTCAAACATTTTTGGCTTTTCCTTTTTTGTATCCATGTATATAATTCTTATGTTCAAAAAGCTTAAGCATTTATATTTGATGGAGTATCACCCTAGGTTTCTAAAGCATCTTTGAAAAGCCATTAACTACTTTGCTCAGAATAAACTTTGAGGTCTAGAAGAAACTGGATTTCTTTCTAGTTAAATAATCTGTTGGGAAAAAAAAGAAGGCAAGAAAAATGTAAATATCCTAATGCAACCACTCATCAGATGTTCTGAGTGCCACATATGCCAGCACTGTTTAGGTGCCAGGAATACTGAAACAGGAAGACCAAGTCCCTTTTCTCACTTCTAGTTATAATAAAGAAAAATGAGTACTAGGGTATATAGTGATCAAAGGTCAAGTTAACTGGACCCAAGATGGGCATCTTTCTAACCTTTTCTCTGGTACATTTATGAATGTTTATGAATGATTTTGTAGGGTGAAACTAAGATTTAAGCTTAACTCAGTCTTAAATTGCTTAATATAGACTTAGGTTTTAATCAAAATTGGCATAGATTTTACTTTTCATTCTTTGCTGATGTAAATATATCTTACCTTGGGAATTCTGACTAGATCAGGCAATACCTTTAAAAGGTTACACTGCATACAGAATCAGGTTGAGAGTATATATTTATTAAAAAAAGTCTAATGCTGAAACTGTGTTGAAAAAATCATTACACAGAATAATACTTATATATTACTGACAAATCTTTCTTCTCTCCTCCCTCCCTCCCTTCATTCCCTCCTTCTTGCCTTCTTCCTTTCTCCTTCCCACCCTTCTTTCCTTCCTTCTCCCCTTCCTTCCCTCTTCCTTCTTTTTTCTCTATCAATGTGTATTCTTCAGTATTTATGCACAGATTCTCCACGGTGGTCCACATCCAGACAAACTTATAATAAAGTCCAAAAATCATAAGTCAGACTATCATAGGTCAGAAACCATCTGTATGTATATTCTTGTGTCTAGTCACTCATGTGGGAAAAAAGGAGGGAGGAGGGAAAAAGGAGGAGGGGTGTATTTGGTATGGATAGTTAAAATTCCACATTTCTTCTCAAGAGGAAATTTTGGTCTTCAAATTATTATTCTGTGGTTTTCTTGTCTGCTGACAAGTTTTTAACTAATGTAAAATCAGGGGATTTTATGCTACAGAAAGTGTATTCCTAAGACTAGTATCTCAATCTAATCTTATTTTATAGTTGTTACAGCAATACATCACCTGTATCATTATTTATATGTATTTTCAACTCACATTTATTCTTAAATTTAGCATCATCCAAAATAACTTGAAGTCAGTTTGATATTACTTATGTATGTGTGACACACACACACACACACACACACACACAGATTTCATGAAACAGTAAAATTAACATATAGTCATAAATATGTGTTACTTAAGCCAGGGATCAACAAACTTTTTCTGTAAAGAGTCAGGCAACAAATAATTTAGGGTTTTTTTTTTAGATCCATAGTAGTTTATGTCATAGCTAGAAACCCCGCTGTTCTAGTACAACAGCCGTAGACAAATAAATGAATGGACATGGCTGTGTTTTAATAAAACTTTATTTATAAAGTCAGTCTAGATGTGGTCCATGGGCTGTGTATTTTAGATCCATGATCTAGATGTATCCCACATCAACAATGATAGGTATACCATTCTTTGTGAAATAGCACTTTAATATAATTCTGTGAGTTATGATGCTCAAGTACAACTGGTTCCTTTCTATGTCTTAGACATCATTCCTCGCCCCAAAATATAGTGGGTTTCTGTCAAGATCAGCACAACAATGGAGAGACTGGAAAAACCTATGCTGGTATTTTTGCTTAAAAAATAATAAAACACACTTTGCCGATTGGTATTTTAAGCCTAAGTGTTCTTGGTGGTAGGCTGAGAAAAAGTGGTAGGAGTTAGCAGGCTAAAAAATCTTAAAGTGAAAACATTTTTATAACACACTATACATTTATTACTTCAGTAATAAAATGCGTATGTCAGCTACATATAGTATCTTTACTATTAAAATGTAAACTTATTAAGGGAAAGGATCATGAATATTTATTCTTGTTTCTCATACATTTTTGCATACAATAATATTCTAATAAATATTTAGTGAATTAAGAGTGATAGATGAATAATGAAGAAATAAGACAGAGCAAGTATAAAATCAGAGGGAAAGAAATATTTATTAACATGTTAATTTATTTGCAAATAATTTATTTTTGCAAATAATTATAGCAAATAAATTTATTTGCAAATTATTGCAAATAAAAAATATTTATTAAACATGTTAATTTATTTGCAAAAGTAGGATTTCTTGTTAAAAATATAAAAATTAGCCACGGCATTACAGATGGACTGTAAGTACCTAGAAAGCAATATATTAATTACGGAATTAGATAGCAAAATATACATAGTAGATAACATGTTCTCATAAAAATAAATAACATCTAACAGGAGACTTCTCATAAATAATTTGATGCAATTTGAACAAATCTTAATTTTCAATAGAATAAGAATGTTTAAAAATGAAGTATGTTGAAGTTTTACTGTTCTTTTCATTCATTTTTTTAACATGGCATGTAATGTTCTTATTAAATTAACTAACATCTTATTCTTTTCTCTACAGTGAGAATTAAATTTGAAAGATCATTTGAAGAAGCACAGTATTTATCAACCCAACATTAAAGTATCACTCTGGGAGATTATTTCAAATTACTTTTATAGCTTCAAATGATTTTTAGTATTATCATTGATAAACCATCTGAGTTATAAGTAAAATATTTCAAGTTTAGAAAAAAAGACTGTTGAATATGTTTTATTAAAATTGTATGTCATTTTTCACAATCCATGCAGGGTTCTTACTGCTCTAAAAGTGCTTTTACAGTTTGTTAGATAACTAACATACCATTTAAAATAGATTGAACTCTCTATTTACTCAATATTCCATATCAGTTTCAAATGGTTACGGGTAGTGGTTTAAAGTAGTACCATACTTTAAAAGTAGCTTTGATAAATATTTACAAGACTGGCTCTAATGTACCTGACACTAAAGGATATATATTTGCTGGGGTGGGGGTTATCTGAGGAAAAAAGCTTTCACTGAAAATAAGATAAAGAATATATTGACAAACACATTATAACAGATTGCTATCTACATTTTAATATCATATTTGATGTTTAAAGAGTTGACCCTCATTTAGTTCAAAGTTAAAAATATTACTTGGACTAAGTGGCTAGAAAATAGAGCACCAGAAATAGTAATCATCTTTATTATCTAGAAAATACCGGAATGCCAAAAACCTGTATACATTAAAATATTGTGTCTAAAATTTAAAATAGCAATTGCAAAACGTTAAGAGATTTTTAATGAGGAAAATCTATTACTATACTTATTAGGTAAATAGTTCTAATTTATGTACCATTATGAAAATATATGTTAGATACATTGTGAGAATATGCATATATATAATCATCATAATTATTTCAAGACTTTTGAGCAACAGTATCTTTTTTAAGTAAGCTATATATTCATATTAATTCACTGGGCAGTACAATTACAGGGAATTTTCTTTTTTGTCTATCTTTTCTAAATATCCTGCACAGAAAATGTATCACCCATATAATAAAATTATTTATATTTAAATAGACATGGATATATAAATGTGCCACTGGCCACTCTTTAAAAACATTATTTTTAAAACATTAACTATAACTAGTTAATATTTCTAAACCATTAGCTATATCTAGTTAATAAATATATGATTCAAATATTAGTAAGATTTATACATTTTTGTCAGTAACACTTTAAAATGTCTTCAAATCTAGAATGTGTGCTTATTAGAATTAACATCTACATATTTTATAATTATTGATGTACAGTTTTTCTTAAAAATCAGTTGATCTAAGCTAAATAACAGGCAACCAGGATCCAGAAGTATTGCCAGGCAGGTGGTGAATACTAATAAAGTTTTTGAAAAGATTTTTATTAAAAAGCTCAAATAGGTGATACTTGAAGAGTAAGCTGGCACATTTGAACCAAGTATCTACATGTGCAAAATCCAATTATACTCGTTCAGAGTTCAGCTGTGCAGTGAAATGTTTAAGTGAAAGGATAAGCTCATCTCCAAGTTGTTGCATTGCTATTTGTTTAAAGTTTGCATTTGCAAAAACTCTTAAGAATTTAAATGTCTTTGTTAGCTATACATTTTGTTAGAAGACACCTAGACTTTTAAAATAAACATTTAATTAGAAAAGTGTGTGAAGTACTTAGGACAGAAAATGAAAAACAAACTAACAACAAAACCATGCCGTTGCTTCCAGGTAGCCCCAGGCCCTTGCAGGATCCTGCCATTAGCTGTGTATCCTTGGATAGGTCACTTTATCACCCTGGGTCTCCATTTCCTCATCTGTAAAGTGAGACATTTGGATTTCATACTAAAATTGTTTTCAGTTACAAAATTCGATGATTTGATAAATTGTAAGAAAGTTTGTCACTGAAAACTGTTCCTCTACCAGTAAAATAAAAGCATGTAAAGTCATTCTGAAAACCTTGCCTCAGAAATCTTTTTCTACTTTATGGTAATTAGAATGCACAATGTAGATGGTCTTTTTCAGATTACATATTAACTTGAATGAGAAGAAAAATATTATCCTTAAAGATTTGTGCAATTATTTTATCAAATGTTCTATTTTCCCTCTTGATGAAGGCAAATCCAACTACAGTAAGTCGTCTGCCCAGGCTCATGCACCATTGGTGAGCATGCAGTTATGCTTTCTCATTCATCTTATCCCATTTATTTCTCCAACAATGCAGACTGGATTAGAAAGGGTGAACATAACAAGAATTTGTAAAACAAAGTAATAAATCTTTATAACAAGAAAAAGTTTGTGTTACGTATGTAACAAACGGTATTTATAACTGTAGCTAAGGCCAAACCTGTATAAGTGTAAATATCAAGGAGCTTTTGTCATAAAGTTTCTGTGATTTAGAGAATTTTAAAACTCACATCTTAAGAATTTGACAAAAAAAGTTTTATTTTCAAGCTGTTATTAATTACTAGAATTTTTGTTAATGTATTCAAATCAAGTCCTCCTTGGTAAAAATCTACCAAAACAAGTTGGAATACATATATCAGAAACCATCTTTTTCTTAAAGATTTCTACTTTCTCATTATATAATACATGTTCCTCGCCAAGAGTAGAAAGTAAAGAAGTGTGTAAGAAGAAACTCAATTATTCTACTACCATTTTTGTAAATATTTTCCCATCTTTTTTCATTTTTTTAGAAACGAATTTGAATAGTCTACCTTCTGAAATAAAGCATATTACACATTATTAAAAGAAAACATTTGTATCATACTGTACTTATTTTATAGCTTGTGTATATATTTATAACATTTTTAATATTTAATAGCCTTTAATTATATATTTTAGCCTTTAATTATACAGTTTTTTCCTACGTATCTAAACAATCTCTTTTATAGTTCAGGGATCAAAACTATAATTTGAATTGATTTGCTGAAAGTCAAAATCATAAGATGATGAAGCTGGAGTTCAAACCTATGCTTATCTTCACACTCTACATTCTAAAGGCAACTTTTTACATTACCTCCATTTTTAAAATATCACTCCATAATTTTCCACCATATAAATTTTAAAATTTAACTAATTTCCACTTTTGGAAGTTTAGCTTATCTCATTTATTTGTCTCGCAATGTTTTTAAAAACATTTTAGGCATACATTATTATCTCAATCACTGATATTTTCTAAGAATTCATTTCTATGTCATGTACATTTACAGTTATTTATATATAATTGTCTACCAACTTGCACTGTCACAAATGATTTTTGTATTTCAGAATTCTGAATGATGATTTCCCCTTACATGAAAATTTGTGACTCTACAGGTCAGTAGTTTTAAAGTTAGTCAAAAGTGTATAAGTAACTTCAAACATTACACCGTCAAAGTCACAGGTTTATACTCAAAAATCAAAAGGCAAGATTTAACGATCACACAGGAGTATGCCGTTTTCTATGGAAAATGTAATTCTGGCTATTTGGCAGAGATGCATTAACACATTCTTCAATGAAGCATGAATGAATATAGAACTTTTACCATTAAAATCAATGATTATAGAAAGCAAAACTTTTCATGAAAGTTTTCCACTCCTACAGGAAAAACTTTTAATCAAACCATACACACAAATACAAACACAAACACATACCACACACGAGGAAATGAATACCAAAAAGCACCAAAACACACCACACGTAGATCAAAAGATCCTCATAGTTACAGAACTAACTCAGTAAATACCGCTATCAACATACAAAACTTACTATGCTTAAGAAAATTTCAAAGTTTTTTTTTCCTGAGCAAAGCATTTACAGTTTCAGAATTATATTGTTTTCATAGATCACCCCTGTTAGACCTTCATTTGCATTATATAGCCAAAGTTGTTGTGGGAAATGACATCTTTATTGTTACTGTATTTAAAGTTATCGGTCAGCTTTAAATCATAATTCTGCAAAATGAAACACTTAACAAACGTATGATTTCTCCTTAGAAACTTTAAAACATGGCATCGTTTGCATGCGCAAGTAAAGAAATGTGGAGTTGCCTATAAAAATATTTTGTCAAAAATTTTCTAAGTCTAGAGAATTTTTCTCTCTGTTGCTTGAGTAGTGACCTTGTTCTGTTTTCTCCAACCATCAGAGTGAGAAGGCTCTACCAGTATCTTGCCATAAAGTTCATTTAAATTTACTTTGAAAGATTCTAAGCATAAAAAAGATACTGTATTTCACTTTCAATGATAGACTATGCATCTATTGTACCTGCTAGTCAGTTATAATGATGGCAAATGTATTATACTGGGCTCTCTGGGATTGCAGGGAAGTCTTATTATAGCTTTTGCTTATATCCATGGTGTAAATAATCCCATGATGATCTTTATACTGCATACAATGTTAGAAAGAGATGTTCATGATCAGATCCAACAGGAGACAGCTTCAGTTTATCACTGTTGCTAACCAAATTACTTACCAGTTAAAAAACCAGCTGGAGGTATTTAGAGTTTTTAAAGAAAAGCTTAAAATTAACTGTTACATATAGAAAAAATATTCGAAATCAGATCAATTATGTGCTACCTTTCCTATAGGTCAAGCCTTGCTATAAACTAAAATATTTGAAATTACTCTAGCAAGTAATTTTTTATTCCTTAAAATCAGGTATGGCAGCAGCTTATTTTCCCTCTTACTTTGCCTCTTTTCCTTTCTCGTAGGTCCATTTATTTCAACTTCAAACTTCAAAAGTTCTTTACATTAAAGCATTCTAATTTCCATTTAATCTGTTACCTTCACTTTGATGTTGCTTAGTTAATTAAAAGCATTTGGAATCTCAGTGCTATGGAATGTGATTAGGAATGTCATATTTCTTAAGGTTATTTTGTTAACATTTTACACACTGAATTTTGATCAAGTAGTAGATAATATTTTGTTTATCCATCTGATTCTATGGTAATTGTCATAAAAATATAGCTCTAATTTAAATTAATAATTGATCTAGCAATCGGAAAACTAGCAAATCATTTTATTTAATTAGATCCTTTCATTACAACTGATGTGAAGAAATTTTAAAATATGCTTCATATTTCAGGAAATGTTAAGACACTTTGTCTATTGACTTGCTACTAGAGGATGATAGACTGGGGAAGGGTAACTTCAGTGTGAAACTTCTATGTAAAATGTGTTGCTGTATTCTCTGAGATCCCATCCATACATAATAGATTATTTTAATCCTATGCCCCTTTTTCATTTTGTTCTAAACAAGGAGGCTGGTGTCACTAGGTTACTGCAGTTTAAGACAGACTGCCTTTGTCCAACCTTTCCCTGCTTGTCAAGTGAATAGTAAATAATTGGACAGTAGTCTTTGTGATGAAAATAATCTTCCAAAATGTTTTCCTCCACAAGTTATCGAAATATGTTTCTGAAACTTAAGTAAGCTAATATCTCTAGGATAATGTATCTTAGCTACATGAAATAAAGTGCTATGGCATGTGATTAGGAATGTCTTATTTCTAAAGGTTATTTTGTTAACATTTTGCACATTGAATTTTGATCAAGTAGGAGCCAATAATATCTTGTTTATCTATCTGATCATAGGGTAATTGTCATAAAAATATAATGGAATTATAATTTATAATTATAAGTTATAATTTATAATGAAATTTTAAGTTTGTTAACTGTTTCATATTACAGAATTAAGAATTAAAGCTGACCAATAATCTTAAATTCAGTAGCAATAAAGATGTCATTTCCAACAATTCTGGCTGTATAATTTGGGTGAAATTATTATTTGAGTTCTATCATGTGTCAAATTCCATGTGAAACTGCTTTTCTTCTAAGACTGAATTAAGAAGAAATTGAATCCCTGAACAGACCAGTATGAGCTCCAAAACTGAATCAGTATTAAGTAGCCTACTCACCCCCCGCCCAAAAAAGCCCTGAACCAGAGGGATTCACAGCTAAATTTCACCAGATGCACAAAGAAGAACTCTTACCATTTCTACTGAAACTATTTCAAAAAAACTGAAGAGGAGGGTTTCCTCCCCAACTCATTGTGTAAGGCCAGCATCATCCAGATACCATACCTGCAGATATACACACACACAAAAAGAAAACTTCAGGCCAATGTCCTTGATGAACATTGATGCAAAAATCCTCAACAAAATACTAGCAAACCAAATCTAGCAGAACAGAAAAAGCTCATCTACACAATCAGGTAGGCTTTATCCCTGGGTTGCAAGGTTGGTTCAACATATGTAAAAAAATAAACATGATTCATCACATAAACAGAACTAAACCAAAAAGCACGATTAACTCAACAGATGTTGAAAGGCTTTTAATAAAATTCAACATCCTTCACGTTAAATACTCTCAACAAACTAGATATTGAAGAAACATAGATAGTAAGAGCTATCTATGACAAACCCACAGCCAACATTATACTCAATAGACAAAAACTGGAAAACTAACTGACACAAGACAGGCATGCCCTCTCTAACTCTCCTTTTTAACACAGTATTAGAAGTCCTGGCCAGGGCAGTCAGGCAAGAGAAAGAAATTACATTATGGCATCCAAATTGGAAGAGAGGAAGTCAAACCATCCTTTTGCAAACAACATGATTCCATATCTAGAAAACCCCATAGTCTTAGCCCAAAAGCTTATTTAACTGATAAGCAGCTTTTCAACAAAGTTTTAAAATACAAAATTAATCTACAAAAATCACTAGCTTTCCTATACTATAACAACAGCCAAGCCAAGAGCCATCAGGAGTGCAATCTTATTCACAACTGCCATTAAAAGAATAAAATAGAAATATAGCTAACCAAGGCTGTAAAAAATTTTTACAAGAGGATTACAAAACACTTTTCAAAGAAATCAGAGGTGAAACAAATGAAAAAACATGCCATGTTCATGGATAGAAAGAATCAATACTGTTAAAACTGCCATACTGCCCAAAGCTATTTACAGATTTAATGTTATTCCTATCAAACTACAAGTGAGATTCTTCACAGAACTACAATAAACTATTTTAAAATTCATATCAAACAACAAAAACAACAACAAAAAAACACACAAATAGCCAACACAATCCTAAGCAAAAAGAACAAAGCAGAAAGCATCACACTATTGAACTTCAAACTATACTAAAGGGCTATAATAACCTAAACATGGTATTAGTACAAAAACAGACACATAGACTAGTGAAACAAAACAGAGAGCTCAGAAATAAGGTTGCACATCTACAATCTTTGACAAAACTGACAAAAAGAAGTCATAGGGAAAAGACTCCCTATTCAATAAATGGTGCTGGGATAACTGACTAGCCATATGCAGAAGACTGAAATTGAAGATTCCTTCCACCATCCACAAAAATCAACTCAAGATCGATTAAAACCCAAAAGTATAAAAACCCTGGAAAACGACTTAAGCAATGCCATTCTGGACACAGGAACTGGCAAAGATTTCATGACAAATACACCAAAAGCAGTTGCAACAAAAGCAAAAACTGGCAAATGAATCTAATTAAACTAAAGAGCTTCTACACAGTAAAAGAAACTATCATCAGTAAACACACAACCCACAGAATGGGAGAAAATATTTGCAAACTATGCATTTGAGAAAGGTCTAATAACCAGAATTAAAAATGGGCTTAAACAAATTTAGAAGAAATAAAACAACCCCATTAAAAAGTGGGCAAAAGACACAAACAGATACTTTTCAAAAGACATGCTTACTGCAAACAAGCACATGATAAAAAGGTCCATATCACTGATCCTTACAGAAATGCAAATAACGCAATACCATCTAACATTAGTCAAAATTATTATTATTAAAAAGTCAAAAAACAGATATTGGTGAGGTTGTGGAGGAAAACGGAACACTTACGCACAGTTGCTGGGAGTGTAAATTAACTCAACCATTGTGGAAAGCAGTGTGATGATTCCACAAAGACATGAAAACAGAACTACCATTTGACCCACGAATTCCATTACCGGGTATATACCCAAAGGAATAGAAACTGTGCTGTCCTCAAGACACATGCACATTATGTTCATTACAGCACTATTCACAATAGAAGAGACATGGAATCAACCTAGATGCCCAAAAGTGTTAGAATGGATAAAGGAAATGTGATACATATACACCATGGAATACTATGCAGCCATAAAAAGGAATGAGATTATGTCCACTGCAGGAACATGGATGGAGCTGAAGGCCATTTTTTTTAGTAAACTAACACAGATATAGAAAATAATGCCTCATGTTCTCTCTTAAAATTGGGAGCTCAATGATGTGAAGGCATGGACACAAAGAAAACAACAGACACTGGGCCTACCTGAGGGAGGAGGTAGGGAGGAGAGAGAGCATCAGAAAAAATAACTATTGGCTACCAGGCTTAGTAGCCATCACCTGGGTGATGAATCTGTGCTACAAACCCCTGTGATAAGAGTTTACCTATGTGACAAACCTGCACATGCACCCCTGAGCCTCAAAGTTAAAAAAAAAAAAAAAAACACAAAACTGCTCTTCTTTGACAAATAAAAAAACCACAGTATGCAGTCCATGTTAATTTATATGATGCTAGTTGCCTATTCCTTGCATATCTACATAAATTCACATCATTTTAGAAGTTTGTGTTTCTAAATTTAAATCAAATTTAGAAATTTAGAGCTACCAAAATAAGTCTGAATATGGAAAGTATTGGGATGTTATCTTCTTGCAATCATATGTAAACACCAGTTATAAATATACTTTTTTCAGTCATCCACCAATCATAATAACATACTTTTTAAAATTATTTTTTCCAAAGATCATGCTGAAGTATTTGACTGATATCTTACATAGAGCCACAAGGGAGAGAAAGAAAGCTAAAATGGGAAGCATCAAATATTTTAAAAGTATGGATTACCTTTAGAGAATTCCAAAAAGCAACACAGCATTAGGAACTTTGTCTTCTGGAAAATCTTGGAGACATGAAGATGTCCCAATATGAACAGTTTTATTGTCTTGTAAGTGTCCTACCATACAGAACTTTAACTTAGGTAATTTGCTTTACTTAATTAAATGAGTCAAACATTTGGATGTTTCTATATAAGCCTTACCAGGGCCCTACTTGTCATCAGAAAAATTTCTGAAGAATAGAACAGAACAAAACTCATATTATGTAGAGAAGAAAGTAGCGTGTATCCAAAGGAAGAAAGAAAGAATGTAAAAAAGACATATAGAAATAGGGAGAGAGAGGAAGGTTGAGATGGAGGGAGGGAGAGAAGGAGGGAAGGGGGAACAGAGGGAATGAGGAAGTAAAGCTGACCACGATTCAAGTAGATTTAACATGAGAAAAAAAAACAACAGAGGATAGAAAATGCACAAAGTGGAGGAAAAAGAAGGTGGCGCGGTAGGAGCAACTCAGGATTGCAGCTCTCAGCGAAGACGCAGAGGGTGAGTGCAAGCCACATTTCCAGACGGATCTTTGTTGCCCACAGAATGGGGAAATTCCCAGGTGTAGGACAGAAACATGACACCAACACAGCTGTTTCGGCTGGCGCAGCCATTTCAGCCGGTGCCACAGCACAGTGGCACTCCGCACAAAACGCACTGGTCTGGGTGCCCTGTTAAACTGGCAATCTGAGATTTGGGAGGGCACATTAGCATATCCATCTGATTAAATGGGACTTGGACAGTGAGCCAGACCAGGAGATTACCGGGAAGCGACATTTGAGCTGGCAGAGTGGGTCGCTGCACGGGAAATCATACAGATCCTGGTGCCCTATCAGCAGGCGACTGAAACACCTGGGAAAGAGTCAACCAACCATTCAACTTAAAAAAAAAAAAAGGGCTCTGAGGCAGGGAGCCAGGTGATCAGGCTCGGCGGGTTCCACCCCCACAGCAACAAACAAAACAACGATTTGAAACACTTGGGGTTGAGAGTTTCACTGTGGGCACAGCTGAACCCAGGATGAAGCAGCTCAGTGGGGGAGGGGCGTCTGCCATTAACGAGGCATTCTGCCCATACTGAGGTACACTCCCATTGCTGACACAGCCTCCCATTGCCGAGGCAACCCGCCATAACAGAGAGACTCCGCCAACAGGGCGGAGCCCAGGACAGCAGGGCAGAGCCCATGCCAACAAGGCAGAGCCTACGGCAGCAGGATGGAGCCCACAGCACCAGGGCAGAGCCTCGGCAGGCAAATAGTGCCTAGACTGCCTCCTAGCTGGGCAGGACAGTACAACAGATACTCATAAAGAAAGCCCTAACTCCCCGAGACAGAGCATCTGAAAAAAAGGGGGTTTTATGAGTTCTGCTGCAGCAGACTTAAACGTACCTGCCTAACAGCCCTGAATGATCAACGGAGCTCAAAGCTCAGCACTTGAGCTCCTATAAAGTACAGACCGCCTCCTCAAGCAGCTCCCTGACCCCTGTATATCTAAAGAGTCACCTCAAAAAGGACTGATCAGACTGACATTTGGTGGGCATCATTCTGGGACAAAGATAGCAGAAGAAGAAACTGGTAGCATCCGTCACAGTTCCACAGCTGGTACAGGTGTACCCCAGAGAAGCAGGGCCTGGAGTGGACCTCAGCAGTCGTACAGCAGAGGGGCTAGACTGTTAGAAGGAAAACTAAGTAACAGAAATACTTCATCATCAACAATCTGGGCGTCCACTCAGAGACCCAATCGAAAGGTCAGCAACTACTCAGACGACAGGTGGATAAACCCACAAGGATGGGAAGAAACCAGCACAAAGAGGAGGAAAAC